GCGTGGCCCGTTATCTTTACGGGTCACCGTAAATTTTGACTCCGGCGTGCGTGTAGTTGAGGAGATGGTTCCTCTCGCTCGTGAGTTTCTTGAGTGGGAATGGGATTTCTTAGAAATCTTTCGTGCGGAGGAGGCCCGAAATTTTGAGGATCTGGACGCTATGCGGGCGCATCAGCGTGTGGAGCGCCTCCTGCGTTTGGGCCGGGGTGGTGGCCTGGGCCGGGGTGGCCAAAACGTGGTGCCCAGGGGAAGGGCCCTTGCTGCAGCCTTGCGTTTACCGGAGCGATTGCCTCCCGCAGGCCGTGGACATGGTCGCCCACATGGGTAAGTGAATTTATTTATTATTAGTGTGTATTTATTTTGTGTTTACTAGTGTTCTATAAATAGTTTCAATTTGTTGGTGTGCATGCGTATCGTTTTCCTTCCCTTTTTTATTGTATAATTTACGTCGGAGTTCTTTTCTAAAATCGTATACGGTCCTGTCCATAACGATTCTAGCTTTTTTGATCTTCCGCGTCGTAGTGTCTCGTCGTATACTAACACTTTATCCCCTATTTTAAATTGTGCTTCTTTTGTGTTTTTATCATATTGTTTCTTCCCATAAAACATTAAAATATACTTAGTATATACAATGTATGTACATTTATGTATATTGTATATTTTATGTATATACATTCTTGATAGAATTTACATACATAGGATGTGAAATATACGTGCAAATGTAACCGGAAAAATATACATAGAAGATTCATGGTACATACATATGTACATAATTAGTACATGTAATGTATATACACTTTGTTCATCCATTCTTTATACATATAAGTACATACTATGTATTCGCAAAAAGTATATACATGATGTGTACATATATGTATGAAGAGTGTATATACTTCTCTGTATATAGATGGTATGTACATATACGTATGAAGAATGTATATATTTTCTATACATACATTCTTCATATATATGTATATACCATGTATATACTTTCTACATATACATTCTTCGTATACATATGTACTTACCCATGTATTATATATTCTTCATACATATATGTACACTGCTCGTCATTAATTTGTTCCATTTTTCTAGCAAGTTTATAGAATGTGTTACATATTCTATAGATTATTTCATAAAATAACAAAAGATTAATAACATAATTTGCACTTTTTTTAAATTATTTGCTTTTTTCATAAGACAAATATTTATTGAACATATATATATATATATATATATATATATATATATATATGTATATATTTATTGAACATATATATATATATATATATATATATCTTTATATCATATCTATATTTCTATCTACATATATGTATGTATATTTATATCTATATCTATATATGTATATTTACTTAATAGTATTAAAAGGTATGATGACTGAACACAAAATTTAATTTTGAAAATAATGTTTGTTTATTGTATTGGGTTGTCCGGAAAGTCCGTGCGGATTTTTAAGCAAAATTCGAATGAAAAAATTTTGTTGTTAAAAGTTATTTCATTCTGTGATATTATTTATTTTATTTATTTATTGTACTCCTTGCCTTTCGGCTTAGGAGGCACCTCCAGTACTTTACATTTGTTCTTTGTTTACTGTTAATGTGTTTGTCTGTGTGTGTATGTGTTTATGTGTTTGTGCGTGTGTACTAATTTTATTTTCTTCTTCCTCTTTCGTCCCTCTTCTCACCTCTCTTCTTTCATTGATTCTCTTCATCGTCTCGTAGCCTCCTCCATTTCCTTCCATTAAATCTTTGATCCCTATCTCTTCCCTTGTCGCTTCGCACTCCTTCAATATGTGTATCCAATCCTCTTCTTTCTCTCCGCATATTCTGCATCTCCTTTCTTCTTCACTCTCCCAATATCTCCCCATCTTTATCTCATTTCCACATCTGAATCTTGCTATCGTAATTCTCTCCTTCTTCTTCCTTCTTCCTCTCAGGTATTCCGGTCTCTCTTCTGTAAGTATTTCTTTATATATCTTATTACTTTTTGATTCATTAACTTTTCTCCATCTTTCTTCTTTCTCTTTCCTTTCTATTTTTTCTATTAGTTCTCTACTTACTTCTTCTCCTCCATTCTCTTCTCTCACTCTTTCTCTCCTTTCTTTGCTTATGCCTGATCCTTCTAGCCTCTCTCTCCTCTTCCTCTCCCATTTACTTTCTTCCTTCTTTATTCTTTCTCTCTCTGCCTCTTTTATGCATTCTATCACTATTTTTTTATTTGACCCTCTTGCTTTCTCTTCATATCTTATCGCTCTTTTCAATGCCTCTGTCCCCATCTCCTTTTCCTTTGTTTCCTCTGTTACTATGTAATTTGGTGTTCTGTGATCCAATCCTAATATCCATTTTATATACTTTCTCTTTATCCTCTCTATTTTTTCTTCCTTCTTCCATCCCCATATTTCTGCCCCATACAATGCTATGCTTCCTACCAGTGCCTTAAATATTTTCATTCTTCTCTCAAAATCTTCTTTGAACAGCTTCTCTCCTATGCTCCACGTGTTTTTCATCGCTATTGTTGCTCTTCTCATCCTTTCCTCTATGTGTTTCTCTGATCCTCCGTTCTTCTGCATTACATATCCTAAGTAGCTAATTTCCTTTACTTCTTCTATCTCTTCCTCTCCCCATCTCCATTCTCTTCTTTTTTTCCTTCCCTTTCCATTCTCGAATACCAGCACTTTCGATTTCTCCGTACTCAGTTTTAGTCTTCTCTTCTCCAGGTATCTTTTAAATCTTCTTATCATCATTTTCAACTCTTCTTCCTTCTTCGCTAATAACACTATGTCATCTGCATACGTTATAGTCCAAAATTTTTCCCTCCCTACAACTACTCCTCCTGTCTGTTCCTTCTTCATCTCTTCTTCTAAATCTGTTATATATATGTTGAATAACATTGGGCTTAGCGGGCATCCTTGTCTTACCCCACAACCTGTCCAAAATTCTTCTGATTTCTTGTTTCCCACTCTTACTACGCTTCTGGTTTCTTTGTATGTTTCCATTATCCTGTTTCTCAATCTCTCTCCTACTTCCATTTTCCTTAGCCCTTCTTCCATTTTTTTCCTATCCACTTTATCAAATGCTGCCTTCAAATCCGCGAAGAAAGTAAATATTTTCCCTCCCTTCTTCGTCATCTCTCTGTTCACTACATAATTCAACACATACACTGCGTCCATTGTTCCTCTTCCTTCTCTGAATCCAAATTGACTTTCTCCTAGTTTTTCTTCAACTTCCTTCTTCAATCTCTTATTCAATATATTTGCGTATATCTTGTACGCCGTGTCCATCAGCGTTACCCCTCTGTAATTCTTTATTTCTTCTTTCTTCCCTTTCTTGTATATCGGACTTATCACCCCTTTATTCCAGTCTTTCGGTATGCCTCCTTCTTTCCATATTTTCTTTATCATTTTTGCCAACACTTCTCCTATCTCTTTTGGCATCAGTCTCCATGCTTCGTTCTCTATTCCATTTTCTCCTGGCGCTTTTTTCTTCTTTAGTTCCCTGAGTTGATTTATTAGCTCTTCGTCTGTGATCTCTCCTTCTTTCTCGTTTCCTTCTTCCTTCCTTACTCCCGTCTTCGTCTCTTCTTCCTCTTCTTTTTCTTCCTTTCTTTTTAACCTTGTTCTGCTCCCTTCCAGTAGCTCCATGAAGTATTCCCTCCATTTTTCCACCTCTATGTTTTCGTCTACTTTTTCTCTTCTCTTTCTGTATTTGTTTATAAATTTCCATGCTTCCTCCTCTGTCCTTATCTTTTTGATTTCCTCTTCTTCTTCTTCCCTATGTTTCTTTTTTTCTTTCTCACACCATTTCCTATATTCTTTTCTCTTCTTTATATACTCCTCCTTGTCTATTTTCCCTTTCTTCCACCTCCTCATTTCTCTTCTTATTTCTCTTTTTTTCTCCTTCCATTCTTTGCTGTGCCATTCTTTCCTCCCCATTCCCCAGGGTTTTATTATTTTCTTTTCTCTTTTTCTCGCCTTTCTTACCTTTTCTTCCAATTCCTTCCAGATTTCTTCCGTTTCTGTCTTGTTGCATATCCACCCTTCACATCTATTATGAAACTCTGCAATTCCTTCCTCATTCCATATACTTCTCTCTATTTCTATCTCCTTTACTTCTGTTCTACTTTCATTTTCTTCTCCTTCTATTACCACCTCTAATGGAATGTGGTCTGATTCTGTCCTTAATCCTTCTTTCACCGTCTTTATCTCTTGTGCGGCCTTCTCATTTGCCACGTAATCTATCACTGATGTTCCTCTCTCTCCTATATATGTCCATCCTCCTTCTTCCTCCCCTTTTCTATTCATTATCATCCATCCTCTTTCACTCATCGTCTCTATTAGTATCCTTCCTTCTTTATTTATCACTTTGTCTTTTGATTTCCTTGTCTCTATCTCCTTTTCCATTCCATATATTGGTCCTCCTTCATCACCCGTTCTTGCGTTGTAGTCTCCTCCTATCAACAAGTATTCTTCCTCCTCTTCTTTTATTTCTTTTTTTAATTCTTCCAACGTTTCTTCTATTTTCTGGCTGTATATCACATATATTCTCCATCTCTCTTTGGTTCTTATTAATTCTATTTCTGCTATTCTTTTGTTAATTTCTCTGACCTTTACTCCTTCTATCTCTTTTTTGACCGCTATTAACATCCCTCCTCTTGCTCTTCCCTTCTTCTCTTCTCTTTTCGCTGCTATACTTTTCCATATAAATTTTTTATTCAACCTATCCTTTATCCTCCTCCATTTTTCTTCCTCCATCCAAGTCTCAACTAATCCTATTATGTCGAAATCTTCCAAGTACTTCCATGTGTCCTCATCTTTGTTTATCACTCCCGCTATATTCCAGAAGCAGATTCTTATTTGTTTATTTTTTCTCCTTTCTTTCTTTTCTCCTTTCTTATTTCTCTCCTCCTCTTCCTTCTTGTCTCCTTTCTTCTGCTTCTTCTGCTTCTTTTTTTTTTCTTCCTCTCTCTCCTCCCCCCCTCCTTTATTCTCGTTTTTCCGCGTTCCTGTCCACCTCCCTTTCCGTCCTCACTATTCCTCTCATTTCTCTCTCTTCTTTTCTTCTCTCTCTCTTCTCTTCTTCGTCTCCCTCTTCCAGCTTCATTTCTTCTTCATTCCATCTCCACCATTTCTCGTTCATCCAGATTTTTCCGTATTTTACCCATGCTTTCTTTCCTTTTTTTCTTTCTTCCCAAGCTATCTTATCTAGGTTCCATTGTATGGATCTCTCTTTCCATGTCCAGTCGTCTTGTATTTTTTCGTTCCTTTCTCTTAACTTCCATTTTTTTCTCATAATTTCTATTTTATCTTCTCTGTTCTCCATTTTTACTAATATCATTCTTTTTTCTCTTTTATTTCCTTTTCCTAATTCTCTGATCTCTTCTATCTTTCCGGACACCTCCATCACTTTCCATAATTCCTTTATTGTCTCCTCTACATTCTTCTCCTTTTTGTCTACTCCTTTTATTACTATGTTCTTTCTTCTCTTTTGTCTTTCTTCCTCTTCCTTCCAAATCTCCAGGCCTTTTCTTATTATCTCAGTTTCGATCCCTTTCTCAATGTTGCTTTTTTTCATTTCTTTTTGTTCCTCTTCCGTTTCTTTTCTTCCTTCTCCTCTCTCCCTCTCTATCTTATATAGTCTTTGTTTCAATTCTTCCATTTCTTCTCTTATTCTTTCTTTTTCTCTTTTCCATTCTGCCTCTTTCTTTTCTTGTTCTTCTTTCCACTCTCTTACTTCTTCCTTGAAAGTTTCTATTTTCTCTATCAGTTTCCTTTCCATTTCTATTATTATTCCTGCTAGGTCCTCTATTCCCTTTACTTTCTTCTCTTTTTCTGGTGTTCCTTTTGTCAATTTACTTCTTTTAGAAGCCTCCCCCTCTCTCTCCTCCTCTTCTGTGATATTCCCTCTTTTTCTCTTCAGGAACTCCTCTAGACATTTCATGTCTATTCCTCCGCTCCATGTTCTCTCTCTCGTTATCAATCCTGTTGGTCTTTCTCTTTTATTTGCCCCGCTCTCCTTTTTCTCTACTTTCTCCCTATCTTTTTCCATTCCGTCTTTCTATTTCTCTCTTCTTTCCGTTAGTGTCACTTGTCTCGCTGCGCCGATTCTTCACTGCGCAACTTTCTCACTCTTGTCCATTCTCCGCCAATCGCACGATTCTAGTATCTCCAGTCTTACCACCCGTCTTCTGCTTGCGCGGTCCCTCCCGCTTCCCTCTCTACCTCACTGTTGTTATTCTGTGGTAACCGGCTAACCTACCGTTCACTTTCTCTTCTTTTTAACCCTCCACTTCTATTCTCTCGCTGCTCCTCTCCTCTCCTCCTCCTCTCTCCTCCTCCACCTCTCTCTCTCCCTCCAGTACTGCCACAATACTCCTCTCTATTCCTTCACTTTATAACTTTCCGCACGGGTCTCTCGTACACGTGTCATCACTTTTACGTTCGAACCGGAAGTCCTCATTCTGTGATATATGCACCATTATTTTGCACAATACTTTTCCATCTTTCGGGTAATTTCATAATTCCTCATAGAAGTCTTGGGTTTTTTCGGCGAAGAAGCTGTCCAAGTAGTTTTTGAGGAGTTGCAAAGAAGCAAAGTTCAAACCATTAATTGAGTTTTGTAGCGACCGAAATAAATGAAAATCCGAGGGTGCAATGTCGGGGGAATACGGTGGATGAGGCAAAACATCCCAGCCAAACGCCAATAATTTTTGGCGAGTCTGCAAACTTGCATGAGGTCTGGCGTTATCATGATGAAAAACGACGCCTTTCCTATTGATCAATTCCGGACACTTTTTGGCGATTTCTATCTTCAATTTATCCAACTGTGAACAGTACTTGTCCGAATCGATGGTTTCGTTGTCCGGTAGTAGCTCATAATATACTATCCCCTTCCAATTCCACCAAATGCAGAGCATTACCTTTTTCGGATGTAAGCCTGCCTTCGAAGTGGTTAATGGCGGTTCACCTCGCTTGCTCCACGACCTTTTACGCTCGACATTATTATAAATTATCAACTTTTCGTTGCCTGTTATGATGCGTTTTAAAAATGAATCGTATTCATTGCGTTTGTATAGCAAATCGCTGATGGAAATGCGGTCAATACGATTTTTCTCAGTTAAGTCGTGCGGCACCCAAACATCAAGCTTTTTTACCATCTGGAGCTTGTTTAAATGTTCGGAAACAGTTGATTTGCCAATGTTTAACCTCGCTGCGATTTCCCGAACTGTGATCTGCCGCTCGGAATCGATTAAAGCTGTTATTTGGTCGACATCAGTGGTGACTGGCCGACCAGAGCGAGGAGCATCTTCAATATTCATTTCTCCTGAACGAAATTTAGCAAACCACTTCTGACACATGCGATCACTTACGGCATCTTCCCCGTATACGGCACATATTTTTTTTCGAGTTTGTGTCGCGTTCTTTCCTTTACGGAAATAAAAAAGCATTATGCATCGAAAAAACACGTTATTTCCTTCCATCTCTAAACTAATGTCAAGTAAAAAGTTTTTAATTTATTGGGATAATTAATATCACTAAGTATGCGTTGAAATGTCACTAATCAAAACACGAAAGCATTTGACATATCACATCGACATAAACTTGTAAAATTCGCCTTTGAACGACATCTATTGAGAAATCCGCACGAACTTTCCGGACAACCCAATAATACATAAAAATATATTTTTTTATATTAAATATTTATATACATACATATGTTATATGACCCCAGAATAGATGAAAAGAATTAATATATTTTTTTATCAATATATACCATATTTTATTTATTTTAATTATATAATTGCAATATTGCACCATAAACAAAAACTGCATATTTTTTTAATATTTTAAGAAAATTAAAAATTAATTCTGATTTATAGAATATAAATATATATATCAAGTAAAAAAAAACAAATTATATATACTGATAATTATATGTACTGAAATAATAATACTTAGATTCTATTATAGACATGTTATAATTTTTTTGTTAATAAATCAATTTTCGATTCTTTCATTTGTTTGTGGAGATCTTTCATCTGTTTGTGGAGTTCTTTCATCTGTTTGTGTTATATTTTTATTTTTATTATTATTATTGAAACGATCTTTGCTTCTCACTAGCCATGATTTTATGAAACATATTATTTCCGAATCTGTAGCCTCTTGAGTCTTCTTGTTAAGTCGTACAGCAGCTATAAATATTTTTATAAATTATTATAAAAAATATATATATTGTGTGTGTGTGTGTGTGTGTACATACAATAAAATATATTACATATTAAAGAGTTTTATATATTTATATTTTTAAAATTCATATTCATTTAAACATATTTAAAGTGTAATTAAATATTCAGATTAATACTTTGTTTTCTTCTAATTTTATACACAATTTTATACACAATTTAAAACTATTTTTTTATTTTAACTTAATTTGTATATAAAGTAAACTTTTATATAAACTGAATTAAAATTAGAGCCATATTTTAATAAGTATAATAATATATATATATATATATATATATATATATATATATATATGAGATATAAATGCATATATGAGATATAATGCCGATAAATAAAAGATATCAAAACATGTATAATGCTCGAAAATATATATGTTATGCTCTCAGTACGAAATTCTATTGCATAAAAGATATTTATTATGATATACAAAACATTTTACTACTATACGTTTTAGCTAATAGATATTAAAAATAAAACCTATATCGAATGTATAGTAATCTATTCTTAAGAGAGAATTATAATGCATTGATAAGAATTACAATAAATTATAAGAGAATAAAAGAAAGACATTTTATAAAAGCAAGTTAGTAAAACTTACAGAGAATACTCGATGCCATAATTAAATTTTTAAAAATTTTCTTTTTTTTAGCTCCTTCCCATGAATAAGCCATACCAACTTCGTTAGTAAAAACGTGATACATAATCCGCCGAACAACTTCTTTAACGTTGCATCCTCCTATACGACTTAAATTTTTAGCCTAACATAATATAAGAATATGGTCATTTAATTATTTATTTACATTATTAAACATAGTGTATATAATTTTTATAGATATTTTTATATAAATATAAAAAGAGTTAAATATATAAAAATATCTTAAATATATTACAAATTACAGATATTCAAAAAATTATCAATATTCAAATATAATACTAATTTTTGACACTATTCTTTTTTTTATTTACAAGAAAAATATATTGATTTTTCTTACCAATATTGTTTTATTTTCTTCAGAATTCATTAGCCAATCTTCTAATCGAGCTAAGGAATCTTCATTTACAGGAAATGATTGAATAATATCAGGAACATTATTATTACACGTAAATGATTTTTGTGATGATTTTTCATCTGCTGTAGCTTTCAGTAGAGCATTAACTGTTTCAGAAATATCATCCACTTTTAAATTGAGTATGTGTACTTCTCTCAAAACACGTTTTTCAAATGCTAAAATAAAAATTATTATAAATATTGTAATATAGTATAATAATATTTTTCCCAAAATCTATAATTTTAAGATTATATATTTATGTGTATTGTATTACGTCTAAAGGTACGTCACGTAATTGGGAGCTCTAGAGAAAGAAACTCGATCAATACAAAATAAAACACACATGTTGTCTTAAAGAAAAAAATATGATTTTGCGAGCAGTACAAATTTTTTCTTTAAGAGCTAATGTCTGAAATATTTTTTCTATCTTTAACATAATAAATGTTAGATCTCATCCTAATTTGTGTGTCGCACTTTGTATATTATGGTAAATTATTAAATATAAAATATGAAATATACCTTTCTCACTATTTGGTTCACAAGTCGAATCAAATTTACGATTTAATGCACTTTTTGATGCAGTATTACTAAAAGCAAAACTAGAAGTAGTACCAGGAATAATTACATTAGTAGTACAAGTAGAACTAGTAGTATTAGAAGTAATTATATTAGTATTAGTTCTGTTTTCTAGATTATTTTCATTAGTATTATTTTCTACTGCCATCCCTAGAAGAGAAAATGTAAATTAAATATATAATGCTATATAAATATTAAATTAAAAGTATGTATTATCAACAAAAAGTATATATACATTCTCTGTGTGTGTGTGTGTGTGTGTGTGTGTGTGTGTGTGTGTGTGTGAATATATGTATATACATTATAAAATAAAATAATTGTATAATATTATACTCATGTTTTGTAACAAAAAATAAAAACATTTTTAGGAAAATAAAATAAAGTAATTAATATTAAAAAATACGAAAATGCATAAAACAACTTTAAAATTCTGTATATATACAAAACATGAGTATAATAATATACAATTATTATATTTTTACTTACTATCGCTTGATTCAGTTGGGGGCTCAGGATACATTATGTCATCATCTGATGAAAATATTTCTGATGTTTCAGATGATACTTCATATTCGCTTTCAGATTTCTTGCACCGTTTCCTTTGTTTTGTACTACTTTTTTTTTTTAAATCTTCAGTGTTGGAAGAAAGATTGTTTGTCACTCTTGCTTTATTAGCTTTTCGTTGAGCAATTTTATAGGTGCCTACAAAATCATATTTTAAATAAATAATTTACAATTCAATTAAAATAATTATAAAAATAAAAAATTAATACAAAGTGTTTCTAATTAAAAATAAATTATTATAATAAAAGCGATAAATATAATTATTACTTCTATAAAATAGTTGTTACATAAAAATATATATAAAAAAATTGTAAAATATAATTAATGTAAAAGTGTATATAGATATGTATTGTGTGTGCGTGCGTGTGCGTGTGTGTGTAAATGTGTACTTTACCATAAGTGCCCAAAATACTAGCTCCATAGAGCATCCAATTTGCTTCAGGAGAATGTTTGTTCTTTATCAAATTAATTATAGCACTTTTTGTCGTGTCTTCAGGTGGCCAATAACATTGGAATTTTTTTTTCATGTACCAGGTATTCGGTACAGCTTCCACTGTGTTTTCATCATCAAATTTGACGACGAACCAAGTCATCTTATCAGCAGGTTTTTGATATTTGACAACAAAAAGAAATAATATTACATATACATATAAATAAACAAATTATAAAAAAGTAGCTAAATATCAAATTAAAAATTATATAAAATATTATAATTTTTAAGCAAATTAAAATTATGGCATTAATTTATATATGTAAATTATTTATATATGTAATTTATGTATTAATATATATATATATATATATATATATATATGTCAACTATTTATATATGTAAAAGTGGAAATGAAATAAGATTATTTTTATAAGGTAACACCACCAACTTTCTTTTGATAAAGTTAATGTTCCATACTTGAAGTAAATTACTATCCTTTTTTATATATTGAATATTAAATAAGGATGACGAACATGGCTTTGAATAAAAATTATCTTGCTTAGTATACGTGTAACCTAATAAACATATACAATTTTCACAAGAAGCAAAATTTTTAATTTCAACAATTATATTATTTTTTAATTCTACACATCTGTCAGCTACTTTTGAAATATCTAAACAATAATTATTTGTTTGTATTTTTCTGTATTGTGGAGATGTGCAGTTATTTGTCAAAGGACCATTAAAATGTTCTATTAATAGTTTTATAGAAGAATCATTGCTTGTGATATTAGAGAACACATGTTGAGCAGTAATATTACTTTCCTCAAAAACACGATTTATAACTTGTTCTAAAGGTAGAGCGGATTTACGAATTTTTGTTTTTAATTTTTGCATGTAATTTTCAAAAGGAAAAGCGCTAAAATTATCAAGTGAGCCGTATAATTTTACACAGTCACTTAAATGCAAGAAATTATGTATATTGTGCGATACAAAGTCTGGACCGTAAATTTTAATAGACTGACAAATAAAATGTTTCATTAAATTATTAGCATATAATATATTATTTTCAAATCTCGAATACTCTTGACTTATCATTATACAACTTGCAAGACTTAATGTAATGAAATTATTATAGACTTTGGATGATAAAACTTGTTTTAAAACTATAGGTCCAGTATATAACAAAAAAAGTCTAAATTCTGTAGCTTTATATCTTTTACACTCAAGTATGGAACGTGTTTTTCTACAAAATTCATAAGGAATATATCGTTTTAGTTTTAAAAGATTTTCTGAAATTTTATTAACATCACGAGCTCGTAATTTATAAGGTTGTTTACCGTAAATCCATCCGAATCGTTTATGACAAAGAAGTCTTTCCATGCCACCTAATAAGAGATTATGCATATAATCTATTGGTACATTATCTATCACATTAAAATTTGGTATATCTAACAGCCTACTAGTACCAATATGATGTTCAGGTTGAGCATATGTTCTAAATAAATTATCAGTTCTTTTACAAATACGCTCTGTTTCAGGAAAACATAATACACGATTAATCATATCACCTTCTTCGTCACATTTTGTGCATGAAAAATGACCTGTATGATTTTTTATTGCTAAAACATATGATTTTGCCGGTGAATCACAAATTAACATTAAAATTCGAAATTTATACTTAAAAGAATTTATTAATAATCCATTAGTCGACAAATTAATACATTCATTTACAAAATCTTTTAAAAAGTCATTTGCAGATTTTGGTTTCTCTGGGCCGTGATATAAGGCAACTAAAAAGACTTCTTTCATAAGAATTTTTATTGATTTTATTGAGCATAAAATAGGCCAAAGTGAGCTATTCGAATTTTTACTTAAAGGTAAACCATCAACATTAACCGCTAATAAAAATTCTTCATTTTGTGATATGTTAATTTTATGATTTTTACAAAACAAATTTAATGTTTTTTCTATTCCAAAATAAAAATATGTCCCATGACCTAAAGGTGTTACATTTACTTTACTGGGTATTTTAACGAGCGTTCTTGGATCTTTTGGTATATTATTACATCCCGGTATTTTTCGTATTATAGGAAGTAAAGTTTTTAATGCCGATAATTTTACATTTTCTTTTATAGCCCATGTAGCTAATTTTGAAGTTAATGTATTATTTTTTATAGTTTTATCGTTATATCTAAGATTTAATAATTCGACATCATTATTAGATAACTCATCATTACTATATAAAATATTTAAATCATTATTACATGGAACATTTATATCATCATTACTATATGAAATATTTATATCATTATTACATAGATCGTTTACATCAATGTATCATTATTACTAGACAAATTATTATGAGAATTATTATTAATATTACGAGATAATACAGAATTATTGTTAATTAAGGTTAAAGATCGATTTAATTTATTTTGAAGTCTTCTATGAAACTTAATTTTGTTTTTTTTCTCTACCTTCATGGCAAATTTGAGTTAAAAACGTAGCTACAAAAACACGTGGTCGAAACACAAAGTAAAAAATATGTGTTTTATATGTATAATGGTATACTTACTTTAAAAATAAAAATTTCTTTTATAATATAATAGTCGCACGTAGATACTATAGCTTAAATACACATATGTATTTTGCACTCAACACTATATAGACTTTTGACGCGAAAGAACACAGAGCTCGCAGCGATATGCAGGAACTGTATGATCTGCTCAACGCGACCGCGACAAACGACGAGCGATGTTCTTGCGCGTATCACGTATCAGCACGTGAACACGTGATCGGCAGACTCTATATTTTTTAAGGCCCAATAGAGAATAGAGAAAATCACAATAGAGAAACACAACATCGCACAATGGAGAAAATCTTCATATACTCACAATATAAAAATAGAGCAACAGGAACTATATTTTTATATTGTGCGAGTATTGGCTTTATAAATACATAGTATTACGTCCCTGCTTCGCTACGAGCGGCGCAGGAACGCGAAGCAGAGACGTAACAATATTATATAAATAAGAGAGAAACGACGGTATTCATAATCCGAACTCATTTAAAATCGTCTTAAGATCTCATTCAATCAATGAAATAACGCTATACGACCATTTTAGTTGAATGGGATTTTAAAACAATCTTAAATATAAGATCGGACTATGAATCCAAAAAAATCTCTCTTTTTCTTTTTATTTAATATTTATTCCTATTTCTAATATTTTCTTAATACTTTATTGTGTGTTAAGCAGCAGATGACGTTAATTGAAGCTAAAATAAATTATCGATACTTTCTACATTACTATGATTGATTATTAATAACATTACTTCATATAACATTAAACGTTTCTAGATGTATGTATATTCTATGAATATACATCTTACTTCCATGACATAAAAATAATATACTGTATGTCGAATGTTCATACATTTCATATACATGATTTGGATATACATTGCAATATATAATATGTTTATTTATTAATGTATTTTATACGTACACACAACTCATGTATGTACATACATTGTATATAAAATGTAGATACATAATATATATCTTAATTACCATACGTTATATATATATATATATATATATATATATATATGAGTTCAGATTATACATATACATATACATATATACATATATGTGGGACTGATTTTAGTAAACGAATATACGTGTAAGTGTATGTGTGTGTGTTCGTCAAATGTAGTTAAGTGTGTTATGCCACACCGCGTCTAAAAACACCGCGCTCTAAACAATTAGCGATAACGCAACGAGATCGATATACAAAAGATTTACGAGTTTGTTGTAAATATACTTCTTCCTTTTTAAAGAAGACCGCGCAAGAGGCGACAAGACTTGATATTCGAGCACAGCGAGCTGTTGAGCAAATTAAGCGGGAAGCACACTTTTGCATAAGCGCATAACGCATAAGAGAATCAACCAATCAGAATCTCTTATTTCTATTCTATCTCAGGATAGAAATCAAGAATTCTAATTCCTACATATATACATATGTTATATTACATACAATAAAGTATATATAAACTACATAATTACATTTCACATACGTAGTACATATAAGAACTGTATGTACATATGGAATACATCAATAAATATACATCTTATATATTGTAATGTATATCCAAATTATGTATATGAAATATATGTACTTAGAGATTATAAAACGCATGTATACATGATATACAGCAATGTATATGTATATTACAAACGGTAAAGTATATAAAAACTATGTATCTATATTTCACATACATTATACATACATAAACTGTATGTATATATAAAATACATCATTGAATATACTTCTTACATATTGTAATGTATATTCAAATTATGTATATGAAATGTATGTATTTAAAGATTATAAAATGTATGTATATATGATGTACAGCAATGTATATACATATTACATACAGTAAAGTATATAAAAACTCTGTATTTACATTTCACATACACTATACATATATAAACTGTATGTATATATAAAATACATCTTTGAATATACTTATTATATATTGTAATGTATATTCAAATTATGTATATGAAATGTATATATTTAGAGATTATAAAACGTATGTATATATGATGTACAGCAATGTATATACATATTACATACAGTAAAGTATATAAAAACTCTGTATTTACATTTCACATGCAATGTACATACATAAACTGTATGTACATATAAAATACATCAATGAATATACATAATACATATTGTAGTGTTTATCCAAATCATGTATATGAAATGTATGAACATGCAACATACAAGATATTATTTTCATGTTATGGAAGTAAGATGTATATTCATAGAATATCTAATGTTATATGGGTTGGCTTTACATTTTTCTTCTTTTATATGTTCTTTTGCGAGTTGGTTTGTTGCGCGTAGTCTTTCTTTTAGTTCTTGCGCATAGTCATCATAATTATATGTTGGTTTAGGCGGTTTTGTTAACGCTGTTGGAATTTCGGCTTGATGTCCGTACATCAATTCGAAGGGTGTATATCCTGTAGTAGTGTGCGGCGTCGTATTATACGTGAACATCGCGAACGGTATCCATTCGTCCCAGTCTGTTTGGTCCTCATTTATATAGTGTCTTAAATATTCTGCTAGCGTTCGATGCGATCGTTCTAACGCGCCATTACTCT